TGGCTTTCATCAGAGCCACCGGCAGGGCCAGGAGACCCTTGGCACAGCAAAATGAGACCTTCTGATTTTAGCACGGTCAATGCACCTCAGCTGATGGGGGCTGGAGCCAGGACTCCTGGGTTCTCTCCTCGGCTCTGGGAGCAGAGGGGGACCTAGCAGGTTGAGGGCTTGTTTCAGGCCCATTAACCCTTTCACCCCCAGGCACTAACTGGATGCTGGAGATCCTGAGTCTGATCCATTGTGACGGGGACCCCGGCTGGGTGCGCAGCGTGCTGAACTGGGAGCGGGCGCCCTGGGTGGAGAACCGGAGGGGGCTGGAGGCTGCCCTGAAATACCCCCCGCCCCGGCTGCTCTCCTCCCACCTCCCCGTCCAGCTCTTCCCCAAGTCCCTGCAGCGCTCCAAGGCCAAGGTGAGAGGCGGGAGAGCAGGGGCTGCGGGTCAGGATTGAGGGGCACCGACAGGGCTGTGCGTCGGGAGGGGGGTGAATCCAGGGCTGCTGCTGGGTGTGAGTTACAGCAATGTGGGCGTGCGGAAGAGCAGCCAGTGGGGTGCGGCGAATCCGTCTCCCTGCAGAGAGGGTGGGGAGGTGACGGCCCTGGGTGGGTGGCTAATCGCTGGGTTCACCTGGCATCCCCCTCCCCCCGAGTGGTAGTGACCCCCTTCCCCTCCCCCCAGATCATCTACACCCTGCGCTGCCCCAAGGACGTCCTGGTCTCGCTGTACCACTTCTCCAAGCTGCTGCTCCTGTTCCAGGACCCTGGTTCACTGGACTCCTTCCTCGAGGACTTCCTGAGCGGGAACGGTGAGAAGCACCCCGGGGCCTCTTGAGCCGGACACCTGGGTTCCAAGCAAGTCACAAGTGCTTTGAGTTTGTGCCTCCCCAGCCCTTTGCCCAGGACCCGGCACAGCTCAGAACCCCCCTCCCCAAACAGCCGCAGCACAACCAGGGGTCTGGAAACACCACTGACGACCAGCCCACCCCTCCTCCCAGTACCAGGATAAAACCCAGGTGTCCCTCGCTCCTGCAGTCCCCAGTAGACCAGGGTGGAGGGGCCGGGTGGTGCCAGCTCTGGAGTCACCGTGCTGCTCTCCCCTGCACAGTGCCCTACGGCTCCTGGTTCGACCACATCACTGGCTGGATGGGGCTGAAGGGCAACGAGAACTTCTTCTCCATCATCTACGAGGAGCTGCAGCAGGTAGGGAAACCCCGCCCTTGGGTCATGCCCACACATAACTCCACCCCCTGGGGCCACCCCCACACGTAACCCCACCGCTGAGACCTCATCCACACATAACTCCACCCCCTGGTGACACCCACACATAGCCCCGCACCTGAGTCCCCATCCACATACATAGCCCCGCCCCCTGTGGACACACCTACACTTAACCTCATCCCTGTGGCTATGCCCACATGTAATCCCACCCCCTGGGGCCACACCCACATATAACCTAGCTCTTTGTGAGCCAAACCCACACTTAACCCCGCCCCAGGCAGCCAGTGTAGCTTGTGGCCAAGGCCCTGTGCCCTCAGAGGCTTCTGTCTGGATCCAGTGGGGAGCAGAACCTTCCGTATGGGGAAACTGAGGAACCTCAGATCCCACCCTTCACAGCAGCGGGTGTCTCCCTCAGGATCCGTGGGGCAGCGTGCGGAGAATCTGCAACTTCCTGGGGAAGGAGCTGAGTGGGGAGCAAGTGGCCACGGTGGTGGAGAACGCCTCCTTCCAGAGCATGAAGGGGAACAAAATT